AATGATTTGAATACATCCCATTTTATTGTAGTTTTGGGACTTCGTTGTTTGAATTCAGCGGCTTTCTCTCCTCTCCTCGAAAAACGGAACGTTGTGCGAAGGAGGCGATAATCTGCTCCCGTGTAGAACTTGGAAACAACACTGCCATCGGTCAGGCAAAACTTCTGATTTACTATGATGTGATCTATTTCGTTATGGTACCCTCCATTGGGAGACTGGGAGGATCCATCGCTGAGAAAGAGGCTTTTGGAATTGCGAGTTACCATGGGTGGTTTGGGTCGTCATGTCAAACTCGGACAGCCTCTTACCCTGTTCATTTCATTCTAATCCTTGGGTTCCTATGTGACGTTCTTCAGACGTTCTCCTAAATCCAATTTTTGTGTCAAAATCTCCGAAAATGGCCTCGAAGATAGTGTGATCTTCTCAAGAATTTTTCAAGGTCCATCTTAAACGCTTCAACATCGTCTTCGTCATAGCTTGATATTGGTGCGTAAGCAACCAAGATGGGCCGGCATATCCCACATCGTTTCAACCGTAATCGTCCGATACGGGTTGTTAGTTGTTTAAACGAATCAATGTTCACGGTCTGATTCGATTTAACCAGGACGCCAGCGCCGCCGACACCCGCATGTTCCAAGAAACATTCTTCTTCGCTGTCATGAACAGCGTGAAAAAGATGGCGCCTCCTCGTCTCGGCCAGGCCAATGACGTCGTCTATTCTCCTTGCTTGAATCAATAGATCTTCTACAGCGGATTCGTGAGCAAGGGTTCTTGCATTGTAGGTACAGATCGTCATTTTAGTCCGTTTCGATCTTAGCAGCCTAGTTTGAGCATGAGATTTTATTGGCCTCTTCGTACTCGTTTTACCAGGCGCTGCCGTACCAAAGGCTCTTTCGGGGTCAGGGGAATGAGGCCCATATTTGTTACTATTTTTGGCATTTCGATACCCAGCGTATAGCTTGTCAGGCTCTAAAGGTAGGGGTTGGGTACTCACGAATAGCTTGCCAGTCTCTCTTGGAGGAGCGGGAAGAGCTTATTTGTTAAAGGCGACTCCTATCCGCCTCCCATGTACTTCCCAGCCGCTTGATTGCAGGCTTTTGGCCGACATGACTCGTAGAAATAGAGTTTCTGTCAAGTCGCCGCTGCAGAAGCAGGGGTGCTCTCTGCTGAATCCACCTACGTCTCTGGGAAGCACACGGTCGCTTTTGGTTCGCGTTTATTCCCCTATCCACCACCTGGGGACGCGCCACGTGCCCTCGCGACTAACCGGGCGGGATCCCTCAACGAGAGAGGTCCGTGGATTAAGGCAGATAGCAGAACATGATATAATAATTGCAGGGATTTCATCGGTATTTCTTCAGACTAGATCGTTTTTATGCTGCTTCCAGTAACTCTGCTTATGCCATTGATCTTCTTGCAAGGATGTTCTGCAGCTGGCATTTATTATCAGCCTAGTTAGGCTGGTCATAGTAGAACCAATTTCCAATTTGCTTCGCTTTTGTCGCGACTCCTATGTGATCTGAACGTTTTGTTTGGGAAACTGATGTATGTATTGGCTCGATGGATATTCAGATTGTTTATCATATTCAAATGCTAACTAGTAGATCAGTTTTGAATCCCTCTCCATAAAATGTTAAGATTTAAGAGATGTGATAATATGACCACAATCACCAGTAACGCCGAAAAATCTCAGTGGATCATCCGCTCCACTTTCCTCGCGCAATGGCGCAGGCACTGCAATGTGTCTTGGACTTAGTGTTTTCAGTATCCCCAGTCTCCCTTAACCGTTTGAAGACGGCAGTCGAAAGCGCTGCGTGCAGCGCAATTCGAAAACGGCTCACGATTTTCATTATTCAGTGAAGTTTTTATTTTTCCCTTCAGAATAGAACTCCTCCTTTAACTTGCTATTCTGATGCTCCACGTTTTTCTGGATGCCTTTTTTTTGGTACATATATGACCTATATGTGTGAAGGAAAAACACCCATTTATTACGCAGTCATACCGCTTTTGGCATGTCAAGTATAATATGAGGTCTTCTCATAAGCCTTGGCACTAGAGCAAAAGGCGCTTCTAGAATTTGGGCCTTCGGCCGAAAGAAAGTTCAATTAAGCATAGATTACATAATCATTCTCATACAATAATATTGACAGACCTAAAAACGTCACTATGGCTCTTGTGACGTGTCAGGTTCTAACCTAGTAAATGAGGTAGCATGTTGACCAGATGTGTTACACTAATGCGAGGTGCGAGAATAAGAGAGAGTGTTAGAGAGTATGAGAGAAATATTATACATCAATATTCGCCGTCTCCCTCTTCATTAGGTGTCGGCATGCCTTCAAAGTTTAGTTCGTCACTCGTTAAAGTGCAGGTGCCATGAGAGCTCATGTACCGTTTGGGAACAACTGCTGATGGTCTTTGCATTGCTCAGATGCCGGCAGTTACCGTAAAGTCTCTCAGTGAGCATCAGCGTTACCGAGAGAGCTCTCAGGGCATGTTGAAGGATTGAGAGTTTCCTATATTTTATCCTTGTACTCTTACAATAAAGTACCAAGCTGGAGTAAAGCGGTGGTACAGCTTCACTGTTTCCTCCCCATATTTCTTGAGGAGGTCTCCCGCTTCGTATGTGTCCTTTAATTTCGCCTCAGTGTGATCCGGATGTGAAGGTTTCAAGTAGACCAGGTGGCTTGCTAGGCCACTGACATGCAATTGCCTTATTTTCTCGACCTGCTTGGACAAGAGTTGTTTGACTGGTACTGTATTATGGATGGCCATGAAGGAAAAGTGGCGAAGCAGGGTGGTGACGAACGGCGACTCTGCGGCTAAGTCTCTACTGGTCTTACTCTTTTCATACTGTTCCCGCGACGACGTTGGCTTTCATTAATTCTTCTGCTGGCCTGGGATTGATGGATTCGTATCTGGATCACTCTCGAATTTGCTTTCATTCTCCAAGGCTTGCGACATTGATTTGATACAATTGCTCAAACTATACCCATTTGAGCTTTCATCAATTGACCATACTATTACGAATCTGTCAGCTTGGTTCGAGGAGTGTAAGCAGCCGGAGTCATGCATCTTGCATTAATGGTCTACTCGATTACACTTGACATGTTGTGAATTCCCTGTCATAAATCAACATTCCGTTCTATAGCTATATTATATTGTATATATATTCTCTATAAACTAATTTTCTAACTTACGAAGCTATATAGTGGTTAAAGCTGATTTTATATGATTCGTATATACATATGATGGTCGATTCATCGGCACCAGATCTGTTAGGCAGAAGTAATTGCAAATCTCTTAACAACATTATTCATAGTATGAGCCATCGGCCTGAACACATTTCTGCCCTCTCTCAGGCAACAAATCTTCAGTTGTTTCGATGACGGTCTCTCGGTCAACTTTGCGTAGACGGCCGGAGCGCAGCTCGTCCTTCAAACTGGGGTTGTCGGCGCGAAACTCAGCAGACATCCGAAATGTTGTCCGCTTGGGCACAAATCCTTTAGCCTTTGCGCGATTGTTCTCGAAGGCGGTCTGTGTATCGCGTACCAATCCCTATTCGTAAAGCAGCAAACTGTGTCAAAGACTTCGTTGAACGGCTACGATGCGGCAAGTGGAAACAACATCGGTATCAAAGGAAAGATCGGAAAATCATGCACAACTCGGCATTGATTTCTTATCTGAGAAATGGCGAAAATGCATACAGGCTGATGGCTTATACTTTGAATAGTGTTGCTGAGCAATTTCATTCGCTTTTGCTTAGTAAATTCGGTGTTTATTGCACTAGTGCCAAAACTTATGAGAAGATTTAAAGGCACAACGTATCAAGTTTCAACGGTTTCACTTTTTTCATAGCCTTCTAGGCTAGAAAGATCAGACTGCTTTGCAATCCTCTTAGTCACACTTTCACAACACCGACAGAAGGAACTAATTTTGGGCCGCTTAGTAACGCCCTTGTTTTCAGAACACTTGTCGTTTAGTTGTTTTTACGTAAGTATTCAATACGTACTTGGTTGGAAATAACTAATTTTCAAAAGTATGCTCAGGTAAATATCGATCATCACAGAAAGTTAATGAAAAGATTTTATCGGCTTTAAAGGCTCGTGATTAGCGAGTCAACGTTTAACCTCCAAGCTACCTCCGTTAACGCGGCGACGCGTTGTCGCCCCGCAGGCGGTGCTCGTTATCACCATAAAGTTGTAGTCTTGTTATGAAATTCGAAATGTTATCGTCAATAAAACAAATTCTATGACAACTCAAGCATAAAATATTGCTTAAGAATCTTTGAGGAAGCTGTCGATTCTTGGAATAATGACGAATCAGTTACAAAACAATGAATTTTTTGTCAATAATTACACTGTACATTACATGCGATGCCTCTCTATCGATAGCTTCCAGCAATCTTCCGATTATTGGTATGGTTTAACAGTTGAGAACTTTTATTATTCGAAGTAAGAGATTTGTTTGAACAAGGGAAACGGCTCATTTTGATATGATTGATTTTTAACATGCTGCGATAAAACATTGATAGGAGTCTGATAGATACGAGATAGCTCTTTATAAAGGAGGTGATAGTCTGAAGTATTTTTATTTTGAAGTTCTATAGTCTGCACAGGCGTCTGTCGTAGCATGTGAGACTTGATGCCGACCCCTTAACCTACTCATTATTTTCAATTAACATAAAATTGAATGAGTGGTCGGGCAAATGTGCCTCAGTGGTGTAGTGGTAGAGCACGCGTCGCCGGATAGGATGAAACGTGGGTTCGATTCCCGCTTGAGGTCGTGTTTTTGCTCACTACTCAATTCTCTTAGGAATATAAGAAACATCATAACAGTGCGAAATGCACTAGAAATACTATCAATTTTGAGTATTAGTAATTAGAATAGTTGTCAGCTCAACTGTATTTATGAAGCGAAATCGCATACCCGACCAAACCTGTCAAAGGTTGGGGCTGATAGCTAACATTGAGATGTTGAAGAATGAGTGATCGGGCAAATGTGCCTCAGTGGTGTAGTAGTAGAGCACTCGTCCCGGATAGGACGAAACGTGGTTCGATTCCCGCCTGAGGTCGTGTTTTTGCTCACCACTCAATTCTCTTAGGTATGTAAAATTGAATGTCATGGTTGTTGTACTTGTAAATATTTCTTGATAGCATGTATATTTTTTATTCATCCAGGAAAACCTTTCAAAAGTTGGGAAATGTGGAAGAGCGGAGGTTGAGAGAAAGCAAAATACTTTTGCGGATTTCTACGCAGACTTTTTGCGGTAATTAACACTCATTTCTACAGCAAACATGCTTTGAAAGAAAAATGGTTTATGTTTTAATCAGATACAGTGTTGGACGATATTTTAATAGTGTTCGTATTTTTTGAAGACTCAGACGGTAAAGCAGCTAAACGAAGCCGTAGTTCCCTTTCGTCGAAGAGTTGTGTACGTGAAACTTAGACTAACTGCAAACTCTGTTTATCTTCCGAAAAAGCCTCTTCTTCAACACAACATTAAAACCCATAATAACGCACAGAGTTGCAAAAAAGTTAAAAAGTTAGCTTCCTCGCCAGAAGACATGACTGCTAGATACTACATTTTAATACGTCGTTCGTTTCTGTATAGACAACATAGCGGAAAAGATTTCGTTCAAAGTTCGCAAGTACGGAATGAGATCACCCCGTTCCAACCACAGATATCATTTTCGGATTGAAGATTTTGTGTCAGGTTTGCTAAAAATGCGCTCCCACCTGTCCAGAAAACTGGTGACTAGCTACATCAAAATCTGTGAGCCTAATTCACACCGGCTATTCATAACTTCTGACGATCCTTTTGGAATGGCCGCGCATTTACAGTCTACAACTCTGGGGAAAAAATCGGTGTTTTGAGTTACCTACCACAACGCTTAGATTCGCATAGGAGATCACCTAGTGGAAATGGCTACTATTGTTTGCATCGTGCTCTCCTCTAGTAAGTCTACAAATCATTCTATGGTAAAGTTAAGTTGGACTTTATAGATATAAAAAGTTTCGCAAAAAGTATCAAACATCAACCATGTAAGGCTTCCGATGAGAATCTCTTCGGCTACTATTCATAAGTAAAATCAACTATTCTCTTGCGGTAGCCGTGCCAACCCGTAAATCCGTAGACCGTGTACGATTGTTCTAAAAAAACTAATTGAAGAAAGGACTGATGTAAATCATGCAGTTCGACACATATAATGTCGGCTTATATTCAAAATGTGCCTTAGTTTTTCCAATAATTTACTACCTCTAAACGCTTCTTAGAAGGTTCACATTGATCTCTAATTAGCATTCGCACTACTGAGCTAATTTGCAGCCAGTGGATTCTCATCATCTTATGAAATGGCCACCCAGTTACAGTTTTATTTTTTCACTTAAAAAAAATATTGGTCCGAGGTGTTACGTCACTAGTGTGCTAAAAGTGACAGAAGAGCGTCAATTTTTACTTGTATCAAACTCTCCATTGTTAAGTCTGCAAACTTTCTTCTCGGAAAGGCAAATTGAATCTGATAGACGAAGAAGAACTTCACAAACTCACACCTAATAACACCTAATATTCACTGATTAGTATTTCTTAATCGCATAGTATTATGCGAGACGAATTAGTTACAAGAAGGAAATACTTGAATGACTGAAACTATTTCTGCTACAGAAGAAAATGTGTTTATGTGAACAGAATGGCTTTCGTTTTGAGCACATTTTTTCCTGTCTCCTAATATATATCAGTTTCTCTTCAGAAAAAGGTTGTGATTACTACAATTTCATATAACAATTAAGCGCAATAATGCTCTACAATAAATATTCATATGGTTGAGTTTTGGGTGAAGGACTTTTAGGTTGGCAACTAAGTTTCGCCTCATCAAAAAATTTACAACAAAGTAGTCGATCAAACATTAACAAATAAACATTTTTAATCGAAATATGCATCATTAGAATTAATAATAATTCTTCAAATTTTTGGTTAATTTTCGATGTCTCGACGATAAGAATTGTGGACTTTTTGAAGCAAAATACTCAGGCAAGTGCTCATTCACATCATCGACTTGGCAAATCGTTTTCCTATCAAGGAATGTTGTAGCGAACTGAAGAGATTGTAGTCACTTGGAGTAGCATCTGGGCTATACGGTGAATGAATCAAACGTTCACACCCTAATTCTCATTCTTTTGCAATGCCAGACGAACAACATATGGGCAAGCGTTGTCTTGCTGCAAGATAACACCGCATCGACAAAGCTGTTGCAGCCGGTTTTGACGTGTTGGTGTCGCCCTCTCAAAACTGTGAGTCATCTTTGTGCAGGTTGTTAATCAACCACCTTGTGGTTAAGTGCTTTCCATAAGTTTTGTGCCGCATCGATGACAGAATTACCCAAGCAACTCATACAAAGGACGTTCATGAATCTTATGCTTTGAAGCATTTATTGTGAAGTAAAAGAAAACTCTGTGCGGTTCAAAAAAGTAAAATGGTTTACAATTGATAATCTTGTGAGCACGAGCTTTCGAGTCACAAAAAACACGGTAAAAAGGACCAACGGATAAATTTTTTGCTCATAACTGAGAATAACGAAAAAATACGACAGAACTTAGTTGCCAACCTAATACCCCAAAACATTCTAGCTGCAAGAAAGTTAGTGCAGCGAGTGCCAAAAATTTATCGTTTTGCCGTGCCCCTGGGAGACTCTCATGAGCAAGGACGGTCTTTCCTCTTCTCAAAGAATGACTTCCATTTCGACAGTAAAAAAATGCAGTACCAACAAATGAACTCGTTGAATGGAAGGAATAATTACGATTATTAGACCAGCACTTATGATAATAGACGAAAAAGCTTATGACAAATCCTCAAAATTGATTCCTTTATCCTCTATAGATTCACAAAGTTGCATGCAATAATTTCCAGTGATGTTCGTACAGTCCGCTGTAGTTTCGTTTCAAGTGGGTGCCAAAGCCGTTTCAAGCGCGTCTACGGTAGCGTAGCGAGTAGCCGAAACTTTGTGCAGTGTGTACCACGCGGAGTAATCCATTGGGTGGGAGATGTGACAAAATTGACAGCCATATGTCCTTACCCCAGGAGCCTATGAACAGCCCTTAACAGATGGCAAAAGTTGAGGCTGCCGAATACGTATCAGCCCAGTCCTTCTGAAGCTCAAATCCGTCCGCACCAGAGTGTTCAGTGCTCCAAGGCTTCAGCTTTTTTGGAAGAACAACGACGTCTTTTTTGGTGGCGCAGATGCCTGCCCCAACAATCACAGAGGCCGAGAAATGACTACAGCCCATGGTTTTTGCGATTGCGAGCTTCTGCTGACCCTTCTTGAAAAATTGACGCCGATTCTGGCAACTGTGGAGTGGTTCAACCGTGAACATGCTCTCGTTCTTGAATAGCACTTTCAAGAAGCATGGAACAACTATCAAATGAACCAATTGGCAAGTCTTTCACAGCCGTTTTTATTTCATGAAAGTGAACACGCGCGATATTGTGACTGCACGGTTTTCGCTTATTCTTGGCAATGTTTCGGACTTTCCACTAGCTGTTACCGGGCTTCTCGAGCTATTTTGTCCGTCGAACGCTCCAGAATTCGTTGAATCTGGCAACGGATCTTTTAAATGTTTTCCGCAGTAGACGAAGCGGTTAGACGATCTTTTCGAGGACGGTCCTGAGTCATGGATCTCAATACCTCCAGCCTCTTTGAAACGGTTCACGCCTCTGTAGGCACTTGCTGTTTCAAAACCAGCCGATTTTGACGTTGTCGAGCGTTTTAGTTCCCGTCTTGTACAACTAAACCACTGTTATACGTTGAATTTTACGGTCCATAACTTGAGCACACCTGAAAATAGACAATTAAATAAGCAAATTTTAAGCCAGAATTGGACAAAGAATTTAATAAAATTGTCAGCATTAGCAAAAGATACGACAAAGCCGATGCTGATATTTTGTGTCGAAATGTCGCTCAACGAATAGCGGGATATCGGTCTTCTAGTTGTCTTCTGTCAGTCTTCCTGCGCTTCGTTTGTTGTAAAGCATCCCATGGATTTATATGTGATCAGCAGCCTCAAGAAGAGCGTTTATATCGGCGTCACAGAAGACTGCTTTCTTGCTAGGTGCAAAACAAGAAGCAGTTTCCATGTCGTGTCGCAGACGAGTTCGTTTTGTCGTTTTCCAACGAGGTTGCTTAAAGATAGCCTGTCACCGACTGTCTTACTGTCCTACGTTGTAGAAAGAAGCACCCAGTGTGCGGGGTATTGAGGCAGGAGTTTCCTTGCTGGTTCGGCGGTTTTTTTTTTCCTGGAGTCCCAAGGTAGGCCTAGCCGTGGCTTCCGCAGGCCGCTAAATTATTAGAGCAGTCGCCCGTACTCTTGTTACAGGGAGATTATCCTTGCGACTAGTAGCTACCAAGACGGCAGTGATTTCTGGTACTGCTTACTCTTGGTTGTGCTTTCGGGTGGAATCGTCGAACTCCTTTTCATCATGGGAGATTCTCGTGGAGGAGGACAAACCCTCCGCTGTACTTCGAATTCCGATACCCAGGAACGATCATAACCCCAATGAGGTGCTAAACCATATGAGATGTATAAGTGAAATATTTCCAAGTTTGCATGGGCACATAGTGATATGTAATTCTTGCTCATTCAAAAGTTCTTACGGAATAAATACGCGACAGTGACAACAATGAAAAGGAAGTGCTTCCGTCATCCCAGCTGTTATAAATTCAGAAAAAGATATGTTACAGTGCGCAGAGTTTGTTTTCTATATTTGCACACTTTTTTTGGTCTAATACTATGCTTCTGCCGTTATATCCTTCCAGATGTCGGGTTCGATCTCTAAGCTTTCATGGACGCCTAAAATACTGTAGTGTTATACAAGTTTTATTTAAGAAAGTCCGAGTAAAACACGTTTCCAACATAATTCATTTTATTTGACTGCTTCTAGAGATGACATGATGCTATAAATATAGCCACTGATATAGAGTGATTTGTCAAACTTTCGCGTCATGTACGATTCGTACACACATTTCACCCTATCCGGGGGCTGCATCAATGGGTAGATGGTTCAGTTTGGTTATAAATCAA